CCCTCCCTGAACTTTACCCTGCATCCCGGCCTCGTCTCTACGCCCTCTATGGCTAAGTCCTTAGTCCCTGCAACAACCATGCCTCCCTTGCTGAACCCTACGGCTGGCAGTTTTCCCCCATCTGACAACAACAGCACAACGCTGAGTACCGGACTAAGTGTAAGGTTCTACTATCAGCGGGCTGCCATTGTTGGGGCGTCCACCTATTTTAGAAGCAACACCGGAACCAACACGTCCGCAGACCACGAAGACAGGTGGATCTCCCCGTTCTCTAAGAAGTACTCAGGGGTCCTTTTGGGGTGCAGTGCGGAATCAATCTCGCTGGCTCGCTTTCTCTCTCTCTCTCGCTCTCTATCTGCAAGTACGAAACCATGGTCGAGTACTGAGTCCAGGCAGTACCGGGATGGGCGTGGTAGTTTTTATGCAACTGCCAGGGTAGATGAATTACTGTAAGTATCTGTGCTCATGCCGCTAGAGGGTTGTCGTTGCAAACTCTTTGCAAGTCTGGCTGGAGACAATGTAAAAGTGTCAACATAGCACCCTCTACAGCGCTTGTCGGAAAGGACCACGGCCTGCAGTTAACTCCGACCCAAAACCAGTACAAACAATGTCTAGTGCTCTGGATAACAATTCAAACTGTTGCCACCTGACGTGACCCGTGTCCTGTCTGCTGGCCTCAATGGCACAACTCTAGAAAGCCTGACCCAAAGTGTGAAGCTAGCACAGCGAATCCTGTTGGATGATAATGTGTTCCACTGCTACGAGGCTTGTTCCAGGACTTGATCGAAGCAAATCATGGCCTCCGTGATCCCAATTTCAGGTCTCATCAGTAGTGATCTGATACGGGTGTTGCCTTTTTTGCAGCAATATTTCGCATTCGCGAATGATGTGTTCTGACATAGCCCTCGGCATCGTTCAACATCACGTAAGAACCTGCACCGAAATCCGAACACACACTGCGCAATGCGGCTGCGGCTGGATGCATGAATGCACGACTTCAGTTGCCGCACATAGCTGTGAGAATTTGAGCGCACCTCGCAGCCTTCGGCTGTGATTAGGATTGTATGCTCAAACCTCATGACTGCAGAAGCGTGCAGTGCAACTCGCACAAAGCCTCTGAGACTTGGGCTGGGCTGCGCGGCCGCCGTCCGTTGTGGCAACGGTCCATCCGTCTTCCCACGTAAACCACTCTGGTTCGCCTTCCAACACGCACGCGCCCCAGCTACGCCCAGTTTGGCTTCGAGAGTTTTATTCCAGGAGCCTTCTGTCAGAACCGGTTCGATGGTGAAGGTGGTGCCTTCCTGCAAGACATGACGATGCACATGCATCAAAGCAGCGCATTATGTCATTAGTCATCACATGGCGTGGTTTTACCAGGGATGTCTGGGCAGAGGGTGATGTCCTTTGCGTGCTGCGGAGTATATCAAAAGCTTTTTATCATTGGTCCCTTTGCCGTGTCCAACGTGTACACAATTTCATCAAGCCTACAACTGTCTTCCTGGCCACAGCCGAGCCAGAAGAATGATAAGACTCGAAGAATAATGGAACCCTGCGTCCAAAGTCGCCACAAGTCGCCTGCATCTTTCGATTGTCGCTGTTGCGGCAGTGGAAGATCTGCCAAAGCAGCAGGCAACAGCTACAAGGAAGGCTAATGCTTCGGCAATGTCACCTACTCTCGCATCCTAGTCTCATTTCTATCGAATGACTTACCACTGTTCTTATGCAGCTGGGGCCTGTGGAACTCCATGAAAGAACTCTCCGATTCCATGGCCAACCAGGGTCTTGACGATGCCGAAGCCTTCGCGTTCAGCTACGTTTGCTACCTGGCAGGCACATGTGCTGGATCGGAGTCATAGGCTGTGCTAGCAAGAGAAAAAGGAGCAAGGCTGACTGCATCGCCGATGGCTTTCAATGGCGCTCCAGGACTGCAAACGGCCACAGCGGCATCCAGCGCCTGCCACAAAGCTCGACTTGGCGCGAACCAGACAATCTCACAGTACTGCCATGCCAAACACACTCCAAGCCTCGCGCGTGGACGCCACAAGGCGCGCGCCTGGCCCAGGAAAGGGCAGAATCAGAGCACTACAACTACAACTGCACTTTGGAATGGTGAAGACGGGGAACCTGCCGGATCTGCCTCACCACACATCCATGTGCGCGCAGTGTCTGCATGGAAGCCATGTCTGTACAGCGTCACGTCCACATTTACCAGATCACCATCTTCCAGCGGGCGGCAGTCGGGAATGCCATGACAAATCACCTGAGCCAGCCAGGAAGCTCCTGCGAGACGGTCCCTATGCTGGGAGACTGGAAAAGGAAATGGCGACTGAGACCAACACTTCGTTGATGCTGATCATGACACTCTTCGGGAAGCCTTTGTACTGGAGATCGCTCGGGTAAGCTCCATGGTCACAAATAAAGGTGTGCAGTTCCTTGTCCATCTGCTCAGTAGTGATGCCTGGCCGAATCAGACCAGCTGCCAAGTCCAAGGCCGCACGTGCCAGCTCTCCAGCAGACCTCATTGCCGCAACGTCTTCGTCCGTTTTTGGTTCAATTCGTGAGTTCCACCAGCCACGTACTTGGTCTGGATCAGCAACATAAGGAGGTGCTACGATGCCATCTGGCACCGGCTGCGCAGGAAGTATTTCGCCCCTCGTGACCAGACTTCTCTTCTTCATGGCAAGTGCCTCTAAAGAAACTTTCCCAGCTCTGTGCCTCTGCCTGTAACCGCAATAGCCGAAGGCCATTGGCAGGAACCACGAGGAGACTCTGCATACTTCGCATACTTCCCTTCCAAACGGCCTGCCCAAAGAGCTCCGTGCAACCCTCTTCGGACCGCGCAGGGGCTCACGACTTCGAAGCGAGTTCTGAACGGGAGCTCGTACACCAATCTCCATGGCAACAACGCCGGACTGAAGACATACGGAGGCTGATGATACAAGCGTGCAAAAATCGCCGGTCCCGAATTTACTTAGAGTTAGACAGTTTACACACTCTAGCTTGTTATTTCGTTGTGGGTACCGCAGCACACTAAGCCAGCATGAAGAAGACTTGAGGTGGGTGGTCCAATCATCTGAGCCGGAATGTATGCATCTTAATGTCAGCTTGCGTTCACCATGTGTAGCGTGCTCTCCAAGCTGGTCGTGCCATGTTTCACTTCCGCCAATGGATTCAGGATTCGTGCTTAGTGCTTAGTGCATGTTTCCTCGGCTTCCTGCCAGCTGCAGTGTCACATCCCTGCTTCTACCTAGGACAACATCAAAGAATACAACACATGTGAGAATAGAGAAAAGGCGGTATTTAAAGGACTCTCTGCCAGGCAAGCTGAAGCTTCCGGAAGGCTCCTTAAGCCTGCAACATATCAACGCTGGACACTTGTCGAATCTACTCGAGCATGCTTTGGCATGCCACTGCTGAGCCATGTAGCACCATTGCAAGTACTGACACACCCAGCACCAAGTCACCTAGTCGTACACTATATTGAACTAGCAGCCGCACACGGATCAGCAATTGGGTCAATCATGCAGCGTGCCCTCACAATCAAAGCTCTTCATGCTCATGCGGAAAGGCCAGTGGTCCATTCGCAAGAGCTGTGTGAATCCTGGCGCAGCGGCTGAACACCTTGTCACTGTCGATAGAATCACCGCCGAAGCGGTCTGAGGCTCCCACAAAAACACCATATTATACTACATTATATTATATTATATACCATAATACAATATACTATATATGATCCCGGTTCCGGGTTCGCCGACCCCCCGCCCCCCCCAATGGTATCCCCCCCCGCCCCCCAGCACTACGTGCCGCACGGCCCCCTCCCCTCCAAGAGTACGTGCCGCACTTCTCCCACGTTGCTGCTGCAGTAGGGGCCGGGCCGCGGGCACAACCACACCACACCACAGGGGGGGGGCAGGGGGGGGCCAGCCGCACCACACCACAGCAGGGGGGGGTCACGGAACCCCGCAATACAGCGGGTTTGAGGGGGTACCAACTATTGACGATGTGATGATGATGCCGCTGATGTCGCTG